CGCCCTCCTCTCCCCCCCCCCCCGTTCTGCAGAGACCCGCCCACTTCCCCCTCCCAACTTAAAGGGACAGAACCGCAGAAAATCTCTGCATCTTTGCCCAGCTGCATGGAGCTGTCCAGGTTCGGTTGGAGGTTTTGGGGCCCCTGGTTGGGAAAGCGGGCAGGGTAGCCTAGCGGTTGAGGAGCTGGGCAAGGGTGGGGTTTTGGCGTGCTGGGTTTTCTCTGGCCGTGAGAATGCGCAACGCCACCCTCCAGTGCAGTCGTGGCCAGCCGTGCAAGGAGGCTTGGCCCGCTGTGTTCCTTCGGTCCAGCCTGCTGCGCAGGGTGGTTGTTTCGGAGATCTGCTCAAAGGAGCATTTTGTGTCCCAGTGATTGTCGGAAGGAAACATAGAATTGGATCCATTTATTTCCTGCTTTCCTCCAATTATCCCTTGCAACAACCCTGCGAGGTAGGTTGGGCTGAATCCTGGTCAAATCCAATTTGAAGCACAAAATCCTAGACTGGCAGACTGGAAGGGATCTGAGAGGTCATCTAGTCCAGCTCCTTCTCCGGCACCGGGAATCCAGTATTAGAGCCTCCTCAACTTGGGCAGCTCTAATAACATCGAACAAATATTGGCGCAATGTGCCAATCTGGAACATTGGGCGTGAGATTTATTAAGTTACACCCAGCGGAGAGCAAGCAATGAGAGGACTGATCCTTAGCCCAGACATTGTTAGCTTGTGGAACTCACTGCTACAAAACGTGCAGATGGCTTTTTGCTTGGGTGGTTCAGCAAGGCAGAAGCTGGCAACGTAACAGGGAGCAGCATTTGCACCCAGAACAGTCCAGTCAAACGTGCAGATTCATGCCGACGGCCTCTGACCTTGCAATGTTCATCCTTCGCAGGTTCCCCCAAACCTGCCGCTTTGTCTGCTCTTGGATGTCCCCTTTTCAAAATGCAGTATTTCCTTTTTAATCTACCGTCCAGAATTTTAATGGATTGTATTTCGAGATTTATAACAATGGGCAGCAATGTTGAAAATGGATTCTCCTGTGGAACTCACTGGGACAAGGATACAGCGGGGATCAGAAACGTGGACTGAAAAAAGAGGGAGAGAGAGAGAGAAAATCCAAGGTTATCTCTTCCTAGCTATAATGAGTCGATCCTCCATGTTCAGAAGCAGTATTCCTGCTGCTGAGAGCCGGCAGCGCAATCTGTCTAAATTCCCGGTTTCAATTAGTCCGGGTTGTTTTAAATTCCAACGGCCACCGCAGAATGATTTGGGGCTGAAGTTTAGCAGGCAGGTTTGCGGGTAGAAAAATGATACGGGTGAGTCTTTACAAAACTCTCGACGTTTATGATTGCAAGCCCCAGATGCTCAGGGAGGTCGAGCTCAAACGAAACTCCTCGCAGGTAGAAATTGAGCTGGCGGGGTGCAAATAGGGTGGAAAGATTTTGCTTTCCAAGGGCACCTCGGCTGGTTTTGCAGAAATGCGTTCTCTGGGGAACTAGGGCAAACAAGGCAGAAAATCGGATTAAATCCTGGTCTGGACCTGCTCTGGCCTTTAGGCTGCAAAAAAGTCTTTTTTTTTTTTTTGCAAAAAAAAGTTGGGGGAGCAGAATTCTGGCTTAAACTACAGTTCCTACAATGGCCACACTCGCAGCAAAAGTGCTATTCTTGGTTTTGGGAGCGTTCAGTTTGTCGCTTTGGGTTTTTGGGGGCCGGTGTGGAAGGTCAGCAAAAATCAAAGCAAATGTCTTGTTTTTGGAAAACTAGAAAAAAGTGCCTGGGGAGGCAGGAAGGAAGGCTGGAATGATTCAAGTTTCTGGGTGTAAAAAATAAGTTTTTAGTATGTAGCTCTGACTGGGTCGGACCAGGTTCAGAAGCTCAGCCGGGTCTTGCATGGATGGGACACCACCCAGTAACTCCAGGCAGCAGAGCAGAGTGGAACGCTTCAAAAAACAACCCCAAACCTCCTTTTCTCTTCTTGCCAAGGAAACTCCACGGGCATGTCCGGGAAGTGATTGTGTTGTAACGTTTCATTTTATTTTTAAAAAAGAAATGATGGATAGGTGGATGGATTGACACACATTTTGCCATCGCTCTCAATTGACTTAGCAGGTTCCCAGCACGGAAGGCCTGACCTGCGTTTCGTGCCTTTTGCGAGGAAGCTGCAAGAGTTGAGGACTCGGCGGTTTTGCTGAAATCTTCCACGAAAGGCGAAAAATGTTTCCGAGTCTGATTAGTTTGCAGGGGCTGAGTTTCTTTTATTGGGTGGTGAGTTCGCTTGTATGAAAAACTGCTTTCTCCAGAATTAATTAGACATTCACGATTCAAAGTAGGTATATTGGTTAACCCCTGGATTTAGGACAGCTTTAACTCTGGCCCGTTTATTGTCAGTTTGACTGGGACTTTTTCACCTATAACTAACGTTCTAGAACTTGCTGATCATTTCTATTTGCTCTACCTGTTGGACAGTCAGAGTAATTCTCTCTTTAAAAGGGTTGTTATACGAGGTGGAAACTCTGCCTACATTGACACCGTTAGATGCTGATTTTACTTTTTTCTTAGTGTTATTTTATACAGGAAATTTCTCCTATTTGCCCCAATTTACACTCTTACCCTCTAGAGCAGTGTTTCTCAACCTCAGCAACTTTAAGATGTGTGCTGGGGGATTTTGGGAGGTGAAATCCACACATCTTAAAGTTGCTGAGGTTGAGAAACACTGCTCTAGAGGGTAAGAGTGTAAATTGGGGCAAATAGGAGAAATTT